TTGCTGGTAAAAAAAGGTATGTATTTATGTTCACATGAATATAGAGTTTGATTTCTTAGTATTCTTTCTTCTTTTTTTTTAACTTGAATAATATAACTATCACATTTTGCATATTTGGTATGTGCCAACTCCCCCTGGTTTTATTGACATGACAAATATAATGAGCCTTTAATTTATTTAATTATTACTATTAAGAGAGTTTTTCATTACAGGAGTGGCTTTCAATGTAAAAAATGATTTAATATGGTATATATGTTCAGAAAATTAACACACATTATTTTATAAGTAACCAATTTAATTAATTTTTTTAAATTTTTTACAAATTAATCCAATTTGTATATTTAGAGTTGGTAAATGTAATTTTTTTCTTCTCCAAATGTATCTGGTTTGGTTGAATTCCATGAAGTGCTTGGAACTTTTTTTTCTCAATACCATGAATTTTGGGCTGACTATTTTCATATGGTACGTCTAAAATGTCTTGTTACAGTTTGATTTCGATTCAAAAACCTATATATGGAATCATGTCCCATAAGGGATTGCACTGTAAGGGGTACATGTATAATAAATGTTGAGATTTCTGTTCCCATATTTGGAAAAGAGAATTAAGTAGTCAAGCATATGGCCCAACGTCGCTGGAATATGGAGATCAAGCTGCACAAATTGAAGCACAGTTTCCACAAGAAGATATCGATGAGCTTTCGATTCCAATGATCTCGGGTAGATAGACAATGTTTTTTGGTCCCAGGAGGAGGAAATGTGTCCAAGAACCCATCACTCTTTGAATTAGAGTGTACATCCATTTTGTTATGAGTTTTTGAATTGTTTTGTTTTAGAGATATATTTACAATAAGTATTCAAATTACTTCTATGATAATTCAAAAAAGTATAATTGCATAACATCCCAGTTTTGGATGAATGTCAGAAAAAGAAAAGAGGTCGTACAATTCTTCTAGCCTTCAATTTTGATTGTGAATTTCCAGCTTTTACTAGTCCCATTTAGAAATTGTCTCTAATTTTCCTACTCTATTCAACTTTTCCCAGTCACTAAATAGACATGTACTGCCTTTGGTAGACGTATAAAATCAATAAAAAATTTTTTTTGATCTTAAATTAATAAAATATAAGATTTTATTGTATTTTGTCTCCTGAATTTATAACCGTATTCAATTTTTTCACTGATGACACATGAAAAAGTTTTAAGGTTTCTATTAGAAAAGTTACTTAGCTTTCAATGTAAAAAATATTTAAAATGATTGATACTTTAAAAAAGTCAATACAAGTTCTTGAATAAATAATTAATGTAACTATTTCTTTCAATCTGTGTAGATTAATTATCCAAATCAAATAATTAACTTGATTATTTTTTAGTTTCTGTAAATTAATTATCTACTTCTTAGGTTTAAAAGTGGGAAGCTCAGTATTTTTTGCTAAAAGCATCTCCTTTGATTGATCTAAAAATGCCGTTCAAAACGGACACATGACGACAGTTATGTGAGTATATAGATACCTAGCTTTTCCCTTGAAGTTTAAACGTGTCAGTTGAATCCTGATTCTGTAAATTTTGCTTTCAGCGTCGACATTCAAATATCGTTTTTCGTCTCTTCCAATACATACAACTTTGCCTTCTCGATAAGACATTTGCTTATATTATCATCCAAGGTTCTCCACACAATCGAGTGTTAGTCAAGTTCGAGAGGGTCCCACCCCTGCAAATTGTTTCGATGATATGCACGTAAAACGGCCAATCAGTTTCTTGTTTACTTGGGTAATTCGTTATTGTATCTGCATTATTTTTATTATTTTGAGGCACACAATTATTAACAATAAATTAAATAATATAGATTGTGGCCTTCATTCTGACTCGATCGTCATTTTAATTTTTATCAAATGTGCATATCAAAACAAATCAAGCATAATTAAATTAGGAATCTAAACTGTGTGTGGCTAATTAATGGTCAAGCTAATTAATATAGGTTGTGTCTGTGAAAATTCCTTAAGCCTTAATAAATTACTACCCTCAGAGTTGCAGACATAAGTTTGAAATTTCTTGAGAGGACAAAAGGTGTTGACTTGACTCGTGTTATTACCTTGCTTGTACTACTTCATCTTCCTCAATTCTGCTTCATTTCTTTGGTTTGCTTTCATTTCATCAGATTCTTGGATTCCACGATCTTCTCTTGAGTAAGCCTCTCTTCATCGCCTGGCAACCTCGGCCGGCCACCAATAAGTACAACTTGCAAGTCTCCTAAATATCCTCATTCCGCATCTCCCAACACGAACGTGAGTATATATATAAGTGACTGTCATTTTGATTCCTTCAACATCGCAGCAACAACCTGGGAGCTTGTCTTAGATTCGCTCTGTATTCTGTATAGATGGCTTGCTCTTCTCCATAACTAGTGTTAATTTTCTAGATTGGTTCGTCTTTCTTCTGATATGTATGTTTGGAATATATATTCCCTTCAACATGATAATTGTTTTAACCTCTTTTGATATATATCTCACAACCATCATCACTTGGAAAAATTAGAATTGATGTATAGCCTCAATTTTGGCAGATGCGAGGTGGTAGTTGGTAGTACGACGAGTCCAGCAGAATAATGGAGAATCCGGAGGGGAATAAGGGTCATGTTTTTTCGACAAATTCACATGGAAGATTGAGAATTTCTCGAAACAAAACGCCACAAATCTGCGCTCCAAGCCCTTCAAAATCTGCGGTTTCAAGTGGTACGTTCCTACTGGACTCACCCACCAATGCTTCAAATTTACTATGATCTGTTCCTTCCTAATTAATCTTGATCAGTGTCGTGGGGTCTGAATCACATACAGGAAGCTCCATGTGCACCCGCTGAGGAGGGACGTGGACAATTTTTCTGTGTATTTGACTGTTGCGGATTCATTGCCGCCGTATGGATGGAGCAGAAACACGTATTTCAAGTTGGTCCTCATTAATCAGATCGACCCCAACAAGTCTATTATCAAAGGTATACACCTCTGTCAATTAATAATTTGTTATCTCTCTCTCTCTCTCTCTTTCCTAGTCGGTCAATCTCGTTAATTCTTGTTCACATTAGTATATGACAAATGGTCATTGTCATTTTCTTTATTTCAAATAACTTAAAAGTAAAATTTAATATGATGAATTAATGACAGTATTTTATTAGGATATTCTTCACTTAAATAATACTCTCTTGGAAGTATTAAACGCGCATTTATAAATTTTTTCACGTGTACACACACACCCTTGAGCTGAGCGTAAATACGCTTTAATTCCCAGAAACACAGCAGAAATTCAAGGGAGGACATCGTAGCTGGGGCTCATTCTTGGTGACTCTCAAAGACTTCTACGACCCCAAACAAGGATATCTCGTCAAGAACACTTGTATCATCGAAGCCCACATTGGCGTTCCCGACGTTGCCCCCAAAATTCAAGCCACCGATAATAACCTTCCAACAATCCCAGAATCTAATCATCATCAAACTCAACAACAACAAAGTACAGAATCCACCACACAAAACGAAGATCAAGCAACCACAGAATATTCCGACGAAATTAGCGAGACGCCAAGTTCCCTAACCAGCTCTTCCGGTCATGCAGAACTTGATGAAGTCCAATGCTCAGATTTAACCCTACGAGATCTCATAGATGTGAGCGGTTTTGGACCAGACGAAGCAGCTTACGTCCCTCTTTTGGAAGAAGCATGCACGTGGCATCCTCAGCTCATAAACTCTCAAAGGGACAGAACTCGCTGGTTCAAATTATGGGCTTTCACGTCTTTAGGCCAAGTTCTGTACTTTCTCAAGACAAAAAAAGTTAAAGACATGGACGAAGATGGGTGTAAGTACCTTCAAGGTTTATGGGACGAGCTTGTGAAGTCGTCTGGGTTTAACTTGAGTTGGTTAGAGCCTTATGTTCAATCAGCATTGAGTGCCAAGAACTATTTGCTAAAAGCCGAGACAGTGGAGAAAGCTGCGCAGAAAATGACTGATTTGGAGATTAAAGTGAAGAAGCTGAAGGGAGAGCTGGCTGTTGCAGAAATGGAGCATGAATTAGCAAGAAGAGAGTTGGTCGAAATCAAGGGAAGTTTCCATGAGCTGGATTTGAACGCTGCATTAGATTATGCCATGTTTTAATATATACTGTATGTTTCCATTATATATACATATAAGGGCTCGCGTACGCACACATCTTCGATAAAAAACAAGAGAGGGGTCATTGAAGTGGTGTAATTGTATATGCATAAATATGTCTTTTTTTTTTTTGGGGTCAAGTATGTGCATAAATATGCCGATGGTGACTAAAAATGTAATCAATCTTCTTTAAAAAATTCTGCCCAAGTGCCTATACTAATTGCCTTCGCGTTTCAACTCTCAGTTTTTGTTATGTTTAAAAATATAATCAAATTTAAGATACCCTTCGTTAATGTATATTTTTATGCCAAAAGACTTATTATGTCACAAGAGGTTACGTTCTAAACAATTCGTTTGTTCCTAATCATCATTCATATATGTTAGGAGGGAGATTTTCAACATTATATTATTTTCAATAAATATAAAGAGACGAATTGGCCAATCTATTCAAAAATTATTTTTCAGATATTCTGTTCATACATATAAATTAAACCGCAAATCCAACTATATCTGAAATTCAACTGAAGTATAATAACATTTAAACACAGTTTCTGTGCAGACCATACAGAATTAGGGGACAAGGTATTCTTGCAATATAAAAAGAATAGATTAAAGCCAGTTCTTCCATGGAAATTTGATTGCAATATTTTATAGATCTACTTAACATGTTCTGACCTTGAAATTCCTGAGTAGCTTCATTACAATTTGCATATATGTATCCAGCTGATGAGTTTGAGTTGACTTTTGTGATCTTTCGCACGTTTTGCTGTTTCTCTCTGTCATTTTTCTCATTTCAGGTTGACTTTTGAGATTCAACGACCTACTCTCCGTAACGTGTTTCCCCACAGCTTCTCTTTGCCAATGCCAAGAAAAGTATCCATTAGTCTTCAACTAATTTGAGTGCTTCAGCTTCCTTCATCCACAAGTAAATTTCTCGCATTCAATCACAATATTCCTAGTTATACTACATGCATATACATTATATATATATATATATATAGGTTTCAAGCTTTTGAAGCTATCAATTCCCAGGCATTCTAACTTTTTCTTTGTTTGTGGGTGTTAGGATGGAGAACCAGCAAGAAAAGGGCATCATGTTCAAGAAATTCACGTGGGCAGTTCAAGATTTCTCAAAAAACAAAACCAAGAAACAACGCTCCAAGGCTTTTGAAGCTGGTGGTTGTAAATGGTAGGTACTTGTTGAATTTGCGGTCTGCTAGTTAGTTTCCTGCTTCTGCATGACTAATTATCAGAAGGGATAAAATTCCAAAGCAGTTAACGGTTTCTGTACAGACAAATGAGTTAATTACCAGACATGTAATTAAAACCATATGTGTCTCATAACTTCAGGCGAATCGTGGTTAATCCAATTGGAAAGGGTGTGGAGCATTTGTCCCTGTTTCTGAAGGCTGCAAATTCTTTACCATCATTTGGTTGGACCAGATATGTCTATTTCAAGCTGTCTCTCATTAATCAGATCGACAAGGAGAGGTCCGTTACAAAAGGTATATTTGTCGTCTAAAATCTAAATGCATATTTAATTATATGTTTATCTTTGTTTTCATGTTTGTTATAGTTGTTCCTGTCTTCTCTTTTTAGAAGCTAAGCTATATGTAAATGGGACAAACTTACTAAAATTTTCCAGTGATAAATTATATTAAATGTATAGCCGAGTTCCCCAGCCAAATGCAGTCAGTTCATCAGCTTCTATGAGATGTGGATTTAATATATTTCAGATATAATTAATGAGCTTTGTGTTACCATTATTAGGATTATCAGATATTTAATGCGTGCAACAATTTGAACTTACCTTCTGAATTCCCCATACATGTTCAACGTACGATTAGATCTTCCCACAGGGAGAAAGTTCTAGTTACTTATTGATATGTATATTTCTTTCAGAGACTCAACAAAAGTTCAATTCAGGACATAGTAGCTGGGGAGCGTCATTCTTGCTTGTCAATGACTTCGATAATACCGAAGGTTATCTGGTGAACGACTCATGCATCGTAGAAGCTCGAGTATCTGTCTCAGACGTTGCTTTTAAGATTCCAGACAACTTTACCAAAATCACTGACCAAACACAAGAGGAACAAGCAGAAACAGAGGAATCCACAGAACTACAGCCTGAAGATCATCAAAGCAGTTATTCCTCGGATGGGACGCCACGTTTCAAATCCTTTGATGAAGGATCATGGAATCAGTCATGTAAAACAGAATCAGGAAAACAAGACATTCTAGGGGCACCAGGAGAGACAACAAGTCCTAAACCAGCGCATTATGAGCCAACTGCCCCACCTCTGTATCCTTGTGTAGATGAATCACCTGTGGAAATACCCTTAACCCCTCTTAATGATCTTATAGATTATAGGAGTTTAAAGCCAGAAGAAGTCGGTTTTGTTCTGTTACTAGAGGATGTTTGTTCAAGGTATCCCTCACTGATAGAGAGCCAAAAGAAGAGAAGTCCTAAGTTCAGACACTGGGCATTCATAGCTTTAGGCCAAGTTCTATATTTTCTGGAGACAACGAAGGCAAAAAAGGTGGATGAATCTGCTTGCAACTACCTTCAAGGTCTATGGGAAGAAGTTCAGTTATTTGGATTTGACTTGACGTGGTTGGAGCCTCATGTGCAGTATGCGTTGGGAATGAAAGATTATTTGGAAAGAGCGGACAAAGTGAGAAAACTGAAGAACGAGGTGATTGCTTTAGAGAATGAAATGAAGAGGCTGAGAGCAAGTTTGGCTGTTACAGAAGTTGACCTCAATATAGAAAGAAGACACTTGAGAGAGGAAGAAAAAGGATTTGAGGAGAAAGACATGGATGCTGTATTAGGCTGTGGCATATTTTAAATACGTAGTGCACAATAATTTTGTGTGCCCATTTCAGCTGGGTCAACGAAATCTTTAAATTGCGGATATGCTGCTTGTCATGAACTTGTTTCTGTGACAAACTCTGAAACAAAACAAAAATGTAATCATCTGGGACTCACACGAACAACATTGATAAATATTATGTGAGTTTTTATGGCCAAAAAAAAAAACTGTGTGTGAGAGAGATATTAAGGCTTGTTTTGGTATTATTGATTCCGTGCACTCCAACCCCGTTAAGTGTAAATAAATAAATAAAAAGTCAAATAAAGCCCGGACCTGTGAGCTGCATTGCAATTTCTTCCCACGACGGTCGTGCCACAATATAAATAATCCAGGTCAACTTTTTGAGGGAATTTAGGGTGAAGGAGAGCAGATAATTTTTTTAAAAATAATAATCAAATTATCTTCACTAATTTTCTCAGATCCAAGATTAATCAAATATTTTGTCAAGAAAATATATCAATAAAAACGTTACAATAAAGTGATAAACAATACATGATATTTGTGTAATAAGTAAAGTGAAATTTAATTATTGCTTCTCCATTCTCCTTCCAAATCATTAAAATTCCCCCTCTCATTCTCATCAACCAAGCCAAACAATTATCTCCTTCCTTTAACCAAACTCGCCATTTCTCTAATCTACCTGTCGGCGTTAATTTTCTTCCTCACCTCCGTTCAATTTTTTTTATTTTGACCAGTCCTCACCTCCGTTCAATTGCTGCTTAAGTACTGCGAACAATTTATCACCGCTGCGTACTATTAAGATCTAATTTGAATGATTTATATTAATTTTTTTCACTTTCAATTTTTTTAAAAATTATTTTTTTTGCCAACTTAAAAGAATTATTTTAATGTGTATAGAATTTAAAATGAAAATAATTTTTAAATATATTTTTTTAAAATATATTTTATTTAAAAATTAGTAGCGGAATTTTTAAATTGAAATAATTAATTTAAAGGGTGCCGAAGTCATTGAAGTGAGACCATGCTCATGCGGTAGGTCGGAATGAAATAATTATATTTCGTCTTCTTCAACTTCTTGACTTGCTCGTCTTTTATATGCCTCTTGACCTCCGCACTCCGCGGTTCACCCTTGCGCAGAAACTCCCTAGGTATGTCCCTTTCTGGTGACTTTGTTGTCTTACTTATTCTTGCTGTTTCGTATCGTGACACCCATCATTTAGTTTTCTCATTCTGACTCGGAGCTCTCGAGTTCGAAGCTGTCATTGCGTGTGAATACAGTTGTTTACTGTTTATATTCTGCTTTGTTGACGAAGCTCTGTCTTAGTAGATCGAACGTCGTATACGTATTCTGATCTTTAAAGCACTTTATTGTGTTTCCGTTGATTCTGAGTTTTTGCTTCGCTTCATTTATTAGGGTTAAATAGGGGTGGGAGTTGCTTGGCCCACAAATTATTCTGTGAAGGTTGGTAAATCATCAGTTTAATTTTTTTTTTCCTGGAAGATGTAAGTTTAATGGATTTGCCTTTTCAGTTTTAGTGTTGGAATTGGTTGGTAGGCTGCGCAAAACTACAAATGGATAATCAACAAACCAGTCATTTACCCAAGGAAAAGTTCGTATGGAGAATTGAAAACTTCTCTAAGTTGAAATCTAAGAAGTTGTACTCCGAGACTTTCATTATGGGCGGCTATCCATGGTATTTACTTGAATAATTTACTGAATATTTATTTCCTGTTTGACGTAATTTGCATTTGTGTTTTGAATACGATTTTCATCGGGCTTGCTTTTAGGAGGATTCTTATATTTCCTAAAGGGAACAATGTGGACTCTTTGTCTTTATATTTGGATGTTGCGGATTCCCGGAGTTTACCTCATGGTTGGTCCAGATATGCACGTTTCAGCTTGGCTGTAATTAATCAATTAAAAGGGAAGTATACGGTCGAGAAAGGTATCTTTAGTTTGAGAATTTCTTTTCTCATTTGTTACTGTCCATCCTTGGTTTTGTTAAGTTTGTGGATTGATCTCGTGTTTCGTAACATGTTTATGTAGAGGTACTGCATTGGATCTGTTTGCATTTCCAGTAGGTGATGCTAAAGTTAACACCTGAAAGCCTTCATTGCCATTTCTTATAGTTAATACTCCTCCGTCATTATAAGCCAATTGACTTATTTGAGTATTAAGAAGTAAGTAAGTTGGTTATTTATAATAATAAGTGTTCATTCCTAAATATCCTTGCTAATTAAGTATATTGGCTAAAACTATCATTAGTAGAAGGATTATCTTGGAAAATGCATCTATAGAGTGGATTGGGTCTTATAATTAGGACCAAATGTCAAATTGGGTCTGGACCGTTGTGCTGTTTGAATTTTTTTCCGATCCCTTAAATTCCCATTTGGCTTATTGATACCGTTGTCCTCTGTAGTCTACTGTCCGTGACGTTTGTAATTTGGAAATGATGTAATGCGTACCTACATGTTTTAAGAAACTTTGTTTTCTTTTTCCTTCACTTAAATGTAAATTGAATCTGTGATGAATCTATAACCACAAGTGATGTATATTAATTAAGCATAAGAGATTGAAGCTCTGCTGACTGAATGTATATCATTGACCATATCTGCTGTTAGGGAGCTGAAATATTTCACACTACTGCTGATTAATATGTAACACAACGAAAACTTAAGCTATCCAATTATGCGTTTCTATTCCGTTTTCAACATCAACACATTGACGCAGAGTTGAGACTCGAATGTAATAAGACGACAACAATTTGATAATCATAAAATGGCAACATTTTTTTTAGCCATAATTGACTCTTGAATATTCATGTATGAATTTTTCAGAGACTCAACATTGCTTCAATTCAAAAGAGTGACTGGGGTTTCACAACATTTATGACTCTAAGTGAACTTCATGACCCAAATAAGGGTTATATTGTAGGTGATACATGTATAATTAATGCTGGAATTTCTAATCCCCAGTCTGAAAAAGAGAATCAAGTAGATCAAGCATTTGGTCCAACATCCGCGGAATCTCGAGATAAAGCCGGACATATGGAAGTAAAAGAGCAAGAAGGGAAAAGTTCACACACTTTCTGCACGGTTTCTAGTGTGCATGCTCAGCATACTGGTAATCCTTCACTGCCTGCAGGATTGACCTCCAACCCAATGGATGAGCTTTCGGATTTCAGGGGTCTTGGGAAAATAGAAAGCATTTTTGTCCCGCTGTTAGAGGAAATTTGTTCCAAGCACCCATCACTCATTGAATGTCAGCAGAAGAGAAGTAGACAATTTGTTGAATGGGCATTCACAGCTTTGGGTAGAGTTCTTCATTTCCTGAAGTCTAAAAGGGTGAAAGACATGAATGATGAAACTTGTGAACATCTTCAAATTTTATGGGAGGAACTTGAGACATTTAGATTTGATTTGACTTGGCTTGAGCCTCATGTTCATTCAGCCTTAGGCATGAAAAACTACTTAGAGAAAGCAACACAGGTGAAGAAGTTGAAGGATAATGTGAGTTCTCTGGAGATGGAAATGAAGAGACTTAAAGCAAAGCTTGCTTCTGCAGAGATAGATCTTGAAATAGCAAAAAGAGACTTGGTGCAAGCAGAAGAAGGGTTCCAAGAGAGGGATTTGGATGCAGAACTCGGATATGGGAGGCCATAGACCCTCAAATAATTACCTCTTAATTGTGCATCTTCGTGAAGAAACGCATCAATGTTTTGATATGTATTAATGTATCTGGAGTTAGATGTGGTGCCTAAAATGTTTCCTTGTAAATTGAACTTGAAAATTCCAGTGCTGCAATACCTGGCTGGCCACCATACTTTAGTGCCCCCCCCCTCCGGGGGTTATGTGTGACCATGTATGACTCCAAAAGATGAGGGCGCAGTAGTACTTTTAACATCTGCTGCATTCGAATTTGAAAATATTAAAACTAAGCATATGAGTTCGATCTCTCGTTAACAAAAATCCTAGTAGACATGAAAGGTGATCATTGGACAAATTAGCCTATATAATCACATAAATGCTAGCTTTAGGTGGTCATACAAAAATAATTTGAGAGATCTCATGCCTCTCATCTTGATTTTTGGTGTTTTTAATGGTTTTTCTTTAAATATTTACCAAATAAGGGTCATGTTTCTTGGATGTAAGTATTAAATAATTCATAATGTTTGTTTGCGAGACTTCCATTAGGCTTTATATTTACCAAATACGGGTCATGCTTCTTGGATGCAAGTATTAGGTAACTCATAATGTTTACGAAAGAATTCCATCGTGCCGCAAGGTTTTGATTGGAGGCAATTTCATCAGAAATGTTAGGTGAATAAAAAATTCAAACTACGTTTTAGGGGAAAAAAAAAAGGGAATGGTTAAACAAGACTTGGTTTTGTAACTGATGGAAAGCAGCCTATGGTTGACTTCTACTATCATGTCTATTATCACTATTATGTTTAGTGCGCAGAGATGAAACATTCTAATTAATCATATAAAACTCAACTTCCTTCGAAGATATGATCTCAAGTATATTAACTAGAAGGATAATATAAAAAATGTTGCTTGAGAAAGAATCAATAAAAACTTTTTAAAAAATGTGCAGATGGTTGAAGAAGACAACTTCTATTACGGATGATAAACAATCTACAATTTGACTTTCTACTATTATATTTATGGTTAATATAATACTATTTCCGGTCCTAAATATAAAGTTAGTTAACTAATTTAAGTAGATTAGAAAATAAATTAAGTTAGTTTTTGTAATAAATATGTGTTGTCTTTCTTAAAATATTCTTACTAATCAAGTATATTGGCTACAATTACTATTATTAGAAGAACTACTTTGAAAAAAAAAAAATACGAGAGACAAAGTAGATTAGGGTTTTATATTTAAGACTAAAATAAAAGTCAAACGAGATCTTATATTAAAGATGAAAGGTAGTATTTAGTTTCTGAAATTTGATTTTATTTGGATTTTGATTCCTAGAATCTTTCTCGATGTTATAAATTTTTTACACCGATAAAGAAAAGTTGATTTCAAAAATGAAAACCAAAATAAAGTTAAATTTTAAAAACTAAAGATGATACTAATCCTTATATTTATTATCATAGTAATATTTCGCGTGCATAAAGATGAAACATTCTAATTAATAATCATGTAAAACTCAGCTTCCTTCAAAGATTTGACATCACAAGTATATTAATTAGGAGGATAATAAAGTAAATGAGCTCAAAGAGAAGGAAATTTCCAGTACAACTGGTAATATTATCACGACCAATTTGGAATTTCTTATGACAGCTAATGGCCAGTTGACTTTTTTTTAGGTGTGATGACATTTGCTCGCTACATTTGCCTTGATCTTCCTAGTTTCTCTCCAACAAGTTTTCTTCTTTATTCGCCATCTCTTGATGCTATCTCAACCATTCTTACTTTTTAGTGTTTCAAAATCTTTACTGAATTGTTTCTTTTGGTTCGCATGATAGCTGTTTG